TTTAAAGAGAGCAATCATGTCCCCCCTCAATCTCCTCTTCTCCAAACTAAACATTCCCAAGGCCCTTAGCCTTTCCTCGTAAAGCTCAGTCTCCAGAACCCTGATCATCCTCGTCGCTCTCTTCTCCACCCTCTTGATTTTGTCCACAACCTTTTTGAAGTAAGGCCTCCAGAACTGCACACAGTACTCCAGGTGTGGCCTGACCAAGGCAGTATACAGAGGGGCTATGACCTCCTGCGATTTCGATGCTATGGCCCTTTTAATACAACCCAAGACTGAATTAGCCTTTTTTGCCACCGCATCACACTGACTGCTCATATTTAGTTTACAGTTCACTCTTACCCAAGATCTCTTTTGCATTCACTACTCCCCAGAAACGTATCCCCCATCCAGTATTTGTGCTTGACATTTTTGTGGCCCAGATGTAATACTGTGCATTTATCTTTGTTGACTTGCATCCTGTTTGCAACTATTATTTATTTATTTTATTTTATCACACTTGTATCCCGCCCTCCCCGCAAGCAGGCTCAGGGCGGCTACGAACTGCCCACTTCTCCAGAGTATTCAGGTCTTGTTGAATTTTAACTCTATCTTCTTGGGTGTTGCTACTCCTCCCAATTTGGTATCATCAGCAAATTTAATGAGTAGCCCTTCTACCCCTTCATCCAGATCATTGATAAAAATATTGAAAAGTACCGGGGCCAAAACCGAGCCCTGTCAGGCACCCCACTGGAAACTCTCAATCTGATGAAATGCCATTGACCACCACTTTTTGGGTGTGCTCCTCTAACCAGTTCCCTATCCACCGTACTGTCCTATAGTCCAGTCCACAGTCTTCCAGTTTTCCCATCAGAATGTCATGGGGAACCTTATCAAAAGCTTTACTGAAATCCAGGTAAATCACATCAACAGAGTTCCCACGATCCAGTAAGCTCGTCACTGTGACTAGCTTTCCACCGCTTAAAGGAATCCTTTTTACCTTTTACAACTTCCATTGCTTTGTTAACCATGCAGGCTTTTTCGTAGACCTGTTTGTGCCTTTCCTAACCTGCGGAATATATTTTTTTTGAGCTTCTAGAATCGTAGTTTTAAATAGTTTCCAAGCTTCCCCAATGGTTTTGACCCTTTCTACTTCCACCACCTTTACCCCATCTACCAATTCTTCCCTGTTGGTTACTATTACGTCTGGTATGGCCAAGCCCCTTGTAGCTTCCTCCACCATTTGGAGTTTTCCCATCCTGCTGGCTTCAGATTACAGCTTGGATTCACAACTTGGATTCACACCAATCATGGATTCACTTGATCTCTGCGAAGAAATACTGGCTAGAGCCCCTTGTAGCTTCCTCCACCATTTGGAGTTTTCCCATCCTGCTGGCTTCAGATTACAGCTTGGATTCACAACTTGGATTCACACCAATCATGGATTCACTTGATCTCTGCGAAGAAATACTGGCTAGGAAATTGAATAAAAAACAGTGATTCTGTTCTCTGGTTTGCCAAAGACTTGTTTGGCTGTCATTCTTGCAATGATTTGCTTGGAAATAGCTTTCCAAGAAATCTTCACAGGGTGACTCTGTACCTTTTTTGGTAAACCTTTTGGTTGGGTAGTAAGTGACTTTAAACAGAAATGGCTTAATTAACCACAGATTGTGTGATGTTCAGTTGGGGTTTGCATATAACCTACTTGGTAGCCCCACCTGGTACACAGTACCCTCAGCATGTTTTTTGTGCATGGTCTACAGGTATGACGGTGGAAGTACTCGGTACCGTTCTGGGAACAGCCATCCAAGGCCAAATAGTGGGCAAAGTTGACACACCGTGCATCCTAGACCCACTGCTGTTGAGCATGGCCAACTCTTCATCAGTGGTCATGGAGGAGGTGAACGTCACCCATGAAACAGGCTCACTCACAGATACGGTATGCACCTGTTCAGATGATCTGTTGAGGGGGGGTAATTTAAGAGGAGCGGCAGAAAAGCGTACACCGAGTCTCTCTCCTGCTGAGTGACCTTGCTTCCCCATCCTGCTGTTCCTTCTTATGTGGATGCCAAGAGGTGTGCACCCATGCGCCATGTGCATGTGCACTAACTACCAGCAGGTCTTTCCCAAAAGCAGCCCCCAGAATGACAGCTCTGCAGGGGCTCAGGAGATGTGAATTGAAGACCACTGTCTTAAAGGTTGTTCTCCCAGTGAGCTGGCAAACCATTGATGCTGCTGTCCTGGTCCCAAATAAATACCGTTGATTAGAAGTCCAGTTATCAGACCTGTAGCTCTGCATCCAGGTTTAGGGGGCTTCTTCACGTTTTTCTGCTCTCAACATTACTTTATCAGGGTAAGCATCCCTTTGCCTCTTTCTTCCCCAAATACAGAGAAATGCCTACATGATTGCTGCTGGCATCATTGGTGGGATTTACATTCTTTGTGCCATTGTCCTGTCTGTCGGCGTGCGGGAAAAACGAGGTGAGCAAAACAGACTGATTTATTCATTTGTCTTCTGCCTTTCTTGTTGAGACTCAAGACAGCTCGCAGAGTTTATTCATTATTTTCTTTCTATTCCCCACTTTTCTCCCCGACAGCTTATATCCTTCTTGTCTCCTCTGTATTATCCTCACAACAGCCCTGGGAGGTAGGTTAGGCAGAGTGTGTGTGACTGGCCCTGGGTCACCCAGCATAACTTCCATGGCAGAGTGAGAATCTGAATCTTGAGTCTCCCAGATCCAAAACCAAATAGTTTTTGTGGGCTGCTAGAGCATCCCTGGAGACATGCTGATGTTGATTCTAGGTACACAAAAAGTTATGTCAGTGCGTTGCCGGAAAAACAGGGCGGGGGGTTACCAAGGCACAGGAGACAATGTTCTGTACCCTTCGTTAATGCCCCACCTGGCTTCAGAGAGCTCTGGAGTTGGCCAGCCACAGGACAGAATCCTACATCCTTCAAATAGGTAAAGCCATTTATGACTCACAGAACTAAAAATGCAACTGGGGTCTGTGTGTGTGGGATTAAAGGGAAAGGTTCCCTTGCTCAAAAGCCAGTCGAATCCGACTCTAGGGTTGCGGTGCTCATCTCTGTTTCAAAGCCGAAGAGATTTCCATGGTCATGTGGCCGGCATGACTAAACACCAAGGCGCACGGAATGCTGTTACCTTCCCACTGAAGTGGTACCTATTTATCTACTTGCAATTTCTTGCTTTCAAACTGCTCGGTTGGCAGGAGCTGGAACTAGAGACGGGAGCTCACTCCATCATGCGGCACACTCGGGTCTTGAACTGCTGAACTACCGACCTTCCACAGCCTGCAGTTCAGTGAATAAAAGTAGCTTCCTAAATGTCCCAATGCAAGCAGCCTGACTGGTGTGAGATTGTAGATTGATTTGGGCCACCACTGCTGCAGAGGTTGGCCACACTGGATTTAGGCCTAAGCCCTTGTGAAAATGATACTACTTACATTTTACAGCTCAGCAGTGCAACTAGGATCCAAAGCAGGAAGGTCCTGGTTCAAATCCTGACTCTGTCATGAACTATTTCAAGCAAGCTGCCCTCTGCCACCCTCCTCACAATGGTATCTGGATAGGAAATACCAACCTACCTCACAAGGTTGTTGTAACAGGACACATTGTCTACAAAACACTGCGTGGTATTACTGTTGTGCTTTGTAATCGTGGTATTGAATGAAAATTTGCAGAAGGTTTGCTGTGGGCTACTTCTTCCTGTGGAATGGGTAAACGCAAAAACTCCCTCTTGAGTAAGGCAAGACTTTGAGAGTCCCAGTGATCACATGGAGGAGTTCTATCCCATGACCCAAGCCTCACCTGACTTCAGTTCCCCACAGGAAATACCCCGCAGCTTCAAGCTCCAACCAGCCCTTTGGGAGAAGCTGGTTCTTCTAATCTCTGCCCTGTATTGTCCTCCTAAACAAACTAATTCTGACTCAGTTCCTCTTGAATGCTTAAACTGGGAACCTGTCTAGCCTAAGGTGTGCAGGGGGGGGGGGCTGTTCTTGGAGGAAGCTTTTTCTGGAAGAAGCACTCCACTGCTGGCAAACATGGTTGCCCTGCACTACCTGTGCCTATTCTCACTGGATCCTTCCTCCTTCCAAACCCCATCACTAGCAGGCTCGGAAGGGGAAGCTAAGCCAAGCGTCTTGCAATTCCTTGTCTTAAACCTATTGGGACAGGAGACTTCACTGGCAACCAGGGCAGTCTTTAATTGTTCCTCCTTTCTTGAAAAGTTATCTTCAAAACATTGTGCTTTTTGCCCATGGCTGACTAGGTCCTGAACAAACTGTGGGGCAGCATTATTATACTAAATGGGTGGCATAATTATCCTAAATGATGGAGATATGTTCCAAGTGGGTATGAGAATATCGGAGTGACTTGTGCTCTTGACAAAAATATATATGCATGAAAGAGGCTTGTGTCATCTTAAATTCCAGAAACTTGTCTGCGAAGGTGCAGTATACAAGGACCTTTTTCGATTTTCCTTCCCTTCCCCCACCCCCATGCTCCCTTCTAATAATACTTTCAAAATGCCATAAGAATAACAGGCTTACCATTGTTATGTTTCTCTCCCTATGGCTGTGGGATATGGTGGCATAAGTGGAATCTAGTTTCCTCATCTCCTTTTTTTTTAATTCAGAGGCAAGTTTCTAGTGCTGGTAAACTCATTATTGGGTTAAATATTTTATATATGTGTGTGTGCGTGTGTATGTATATCTGTTTCTTGGAAAGGCAAGTTTCTAGTGCTGGTAAACTCATTATTGGGTTAAATATTTTATATATGTGTGTGTATGTATGTATATATGTTTCTCGGTTAAGGGAAACATGCTGTTCAAACAAATTACAAAGATGATCTGACTCTAATCGTAACAAAAGAAAGAAATTTTACTTACAAAAATAGAAGTACATCTGACATGACATATTAATGTAGGTCCATTTAACTTATTGTGAACTGATTAACTTCAGGAAGGTTAACTTGCTACAGCTCCAAGCCCAGGTAAGAGAGAGAAGAAGAGAGGTGCTATGTAAGATGAAGCAGAAGGCAAGCAACGGCCGAAGAGGCTCGATGTCTAACCAGTGGGGGGAGGGCAATTGCCAAGTGTACCCGAGAGAGAGAATTCTCTCAGCCCTTCCCCTCACAGATCCACTTGCATGCAGAGTTACTTATAATATCCAGCATTCATGATGCTGCCTTCTGCTGAGTCAGACCCTTGGTCTATCAAGGTCAATATCGTCTCCTCTGACTGGCAGCAACACCTGCTACTACCTGATCCTTTTACCTGGAGAGGCCTCTTTTCTTCTTTTTATTCCTAGTTTGAATAGACTGATACTACTCAAGACCTGTAGATCAGAGGAGTAGAGAAAGGAAAAACCTTGAGGTGCCAGGGATCAAATCTGGAACCTTCTGCATGCAAAGCAGATGCTCTGCCACTGAGCCACAGCCTCTCACCACAGATGCAGAAACTCTGACACTACAGTGGCTTTTCCTTGACTGACATCAGTGTCTCTCCCATGGCTAGCACAAGTAGCGAATGAATTACAGAGTTCACACCAACATCTTCCAGTTGTATAAGATATGTGGAATTGTAATTTTCTGTGTGCTGGTTAACCGTTTTCCTGTGGTGCACACACTATCTTCCAGTTGTATAAGATATGTGGAATTGTAACTTTCTGTGTGCTGGTTAACCTTTTTCCTGGTGCCCAGTCTTATTTTCTGTGTGCTGGTTAACCTTTTTCCACAGTGCCCAGTCTTATTGAGCTGAAAAGGGCATTTCTCTCTTGTTCCTTGCAGCATCCATTGAGCTCCAGTCGGACGAGCCTGTTTCGTTCTTCCAAGGCTTGAAGCTGGTGATGAACCACGGCCCCTACATCAAGTTGATTGCTGGCTTCCTTTTTACATCACTGGCTTTCATGGTAAGGAAGAGAGCCTTGTGGAACAAGAGGTGTGTTGTTTATTCAGTTGCAAGGGTTGCCTGCTTTCCTAATGCAGTATCTTGTGGCTGGTGAGACTTGGATTCTTCTGCCGCGCCCTCCCCCCCCAGTAACCCTTGTACTGCATGGATTTCCTCAAATATCATGTACTGCATGGATTTGCTCAAATTTTGGACACATTCTCAAAAGGACAGTGTTTCCTTTTCTGATCCAGCGGTCTCGGGTACGTCTCAAAACCTGCTTAACACCCACTGCTGTCTAAACCAATCATGTTATTGTCATGCTGGGTGGAATAGACTCTGTAATGCCCCTTTTCCCCCTTAGGCAGTGCAGTGCTTCTGGAATTTCATCTTCCAAAAAATAGCAACATTATCCCTGCTTTAGCAGCTCAGTTGCTTCCTGAGTTTTTTGTTTTGCTTCTAGCTCAGTTGTGAATAGTGACTTTTTTCTTCTGTGGCCTCAGAGAATCCGTGGAATTCTTCCCTCTAGCTGGCCTTCCTTCTCTTCCTCCATGGCCTTTATCGACTAGCCTTTCTGCCTGGTTAGGACACACATCCTCTTTGGAGCGTGTGAAAGCAGAATCTTCTATAGCAGAATGCTGTCCGCTTCAGTAGCATCTCACAGAGGTGTGCTTCAACGACTGTTTTCAAAAGGGGAGCACACAAAAAACCCAATCCAACCCACCTCAGATGTAAATAGTATTTGCGAAGCAAGGCAGATATCTTATATATCGTAAGGTACAAATTGCACAAACCTGAATTGCATCTGATCGATGACGCTGAAGAAATCAAAATCTTTCTGGCGGTTTCAATGGAAGTGTTCTGGCACAGTGTTTATGGTGCATGGGCGGGAAGCTGGATTTCCCCCCCCCCCCCCCCCATGAGGTAGTTGGAACAAGTACCATTTCCAGGGCACTTCTGATATCTTCCATATTCTCCCTTCTTTTCAGCTTCTGGAAGGCAACTTTGCTTTGTTCTGTACATACACTTTGGGCTTCCGCAATGAATTCCAGAACATTCTCCTGGCCATCATGGTATGTACTCTGCACTCAACCTGTTCCCTTCTTTCCCATGTTCTTTTTCCTAATAGTCTAATTTACTACATTGGCTGCTCATTGTTGCAATATGTTACTACTGACAAACCTTAAGGACTGTTGTTGTAGCATCTCGGGATTCCTTACAAGAAAAGCACTTCAAAATTCTCCCCTTCTCCATTTAATCCTCAAACAACCCTGTGAGGTAGATTAGGCTCAGGGCTGGCTCGCCCGCTAGGCGAACTAGGCGCTCGCCTAGGGCACACCAGTCCTCAGAGGCGCCAAACTGCACCCCCCGTCAAAAGCCCCCCCCCGCCGCCGCTGCCCTAACCGGGCGATCGCCGCTGCCATGGCGGCTGGTGAGCGAGCAGAGGCAGGAAGTGCTGGGAGGTTGCGCCCTCTGGCCCCGCGGTAGCTGAGCCCCCCCTCTGCGAGAGAGAAAAGAAAGGCGTTGGGGATCGGGTCTCTGCCTGCCCGCCCCTCTCACGCGCTCTCTCTCTCTGCTGAGGGTGGGAAGCAGGAGGAAGGAAGGAAGGAAGGCGGCGAGGAGGCAGAGGGTGCCATGGGGAGCGGGGGGGGGCTCCTCTTCCTCCTTGTCCTCGGTACGGTTCAGTGCAGCCCCGGCAGCGGCACCAGGTGTGGGAGCTGCTGCGGCAGCCGCCCGGCGTAGGCTGGCGATCCGGGGTCCGGCTGGAGCTCCAGCAG